ATCCCACCTACCTACCGACCCAATTTTTTTCACCCTGGGTCGGATGAGGGCAATCAAACATTATTTAAAAGATGGCCTAACCACTTCATTTATAATAAAAAGGGAACAATAATTGATAAAAGAGATAAAAATTGTTTTTTTTTTTTACCATTCCATATGATAGAATATTTGTTTTTGATGTTAAAAATTTATATCTTACTTGAAATCATATCACTTCATTCCAACAAAGCTACAAGTTCAATATTGAAGGAAAAGTACATATGTTTTGCGGCGACATCAAAACAATTGGCCGTAGCTATATATAAGAACATGGGGAGGGAGGCAGCATTTTGCTGATGATATAATGTACTTTAGAAAACAAAGCTACTTTTGATTGGGCCCCCTCAGTAATTATATCTCATGAGTTTTATTTTATTTTATTTTTATTAATCAATTTATTTTGCACTTGTCCAGGAATTTTTGCTTGGTCCCCCCCCCCCCCAACTGAATGTATATATATCCTACACAATTCAGTAAATACATGTATTTACTGGCTGTTTTAGGAAATATATATAAGGACTAAATTACATGTATTTGCAGAAAATATTATTCAATTTTTTATTTAAATGATCTTGAGTTAAAAAATTTTAAGCGTATCAAAGCAGGATGGTTTTCTACACATATTAAAGTTTTAAAATTTTAAAGTTGGAAAAGCCAAGATTAAAGTAGGAATTTCCAACTTTAGAGTTGGAATTAAAAGGCAACTTTAAAAAAAATAATATGTGACACTAATACGCTTAGATGACAGAGTTGGTTCATTGGACATGTTGGATGTAATATATACACTACACGGATGTGCTACACGTAAATTCTATTTAGCCGTGTTATATATATAACAAGACATTTTTAAGAAGTCCTACGGTGAAACAGCCGGTTAGCTATTGCAGGTTATTATTACTTTGCACAGATCGGTGGTACTTAATTTATACATTCATGATCTCTCTAGCAATGACGAAAATGATATTTAGTCATTTATTTTCTTTCTTTTTTACAGTTTTGTTTCTAAGTTTTTTTCTGAAAAAAATTAAGTGTAAGCACGTGCCTTTAAAAGTGCCTAACGGCAGCTACGCCACTGATTGCAATACATATCGCAATACAGTTCCAAATACCGCAATACATCGCAATACGAAATTTTCAACCGATACCCAGCCCTATATTATATCACAAATTTGACATTAAAAGATCATTTATGAGAAAAAGGTCAAAATGGCCCCGGGGTCTATATCGGGGGGGGGGGGGGGGTCCTGTCCCCAAGCACCTTAATTTGCATATGGTGACGTATATGTGGAAGCTACATATGTGATTGATACATTTTTTACGAAAGTCATAAAAAAAAATTGTGATGTAGGCAACACAGGTTATACTATTTAAGGTAGTCCGATCCTCAGGTTCTGAAAATCAGCTTTTAAGTAATTGAAAATGCTCACAAAAATGTCTTTGATTTCACATAGTAACGTGAATTTACCCATGGAATTTCTTCAAAGTTCATCATTATAGTTAATCATATTATATAGGGAAAATTATCAAATCTCAAATATATTTTCAGGAAATGCGAATAAAAACAACAGCTATGCATTTTCTAATTGAAAATTGATCAACAAACATAATTTAGGATAGAAAAATATAGGTATCCAGGTATTTAGAGAAAATTGCATCTTTTATATGCTTATACAGTATTTTGTTTCTTCTTTTTACTTCAATTTTCATATAAAACATAGTGTAAAAACTTGTGCTATCATTGCTAGACATCACATATTATCACATCTAATTTCATATCATGCTAATAAGCAGTGGTATCTAAAGCTAGACTAAAGGAAATTCTATTTCTTTAAAAATGAATTATTTTTTTTCTTTTATGGGGTACAAATGTCAACTTTTTACAAGACCGTTTCTAAGACTTCAAAGTACCTTGAATCATATTAAGATGCATAAAATGAAAATTGTTGCATGAAAAGATCTCAATTTCAAGCTTCATTTTGAGACTTTTTAAATAAATCAATAAATTTAAGAGTTATCCTTCCTGGCTGAGGATCGGATATCCTTAAACTAATTTTTTTATGGTTATTTAATTGAATTCTACGAAAGCCTATTAGGATCAAACTACGGTAAAAAAAATTAAAAGGCGTTATAACGCCCTTTCAAAAGGCGTTATAACGCGAAAAAAGGCGTAATAATGCCCTTTCAAAAGGCGTTATAACGCGAAAAAAGGCATAATAACGCTTTTTGAAAAGGCGTTATAACGTGGAAAAAGGCGTTATAACACAAATAAAGGCGTAATTACGCCTTTCCAAAAGGCGTTATAACGCGAAAAAAGGCGTTATTACGCCTTTCCAAAAGGCGTTATTACGCCTTTTAAAAAAGGCGTCATTACGCCTTTGTAAAAGGCGTTATTACGCCTTTCCAAAAGGCGTTATTACGCCTTTCCTAAAGGCGTTATTACGCCTTTCCAAAAGGCGTTATTACGCCTTTCCAATAGGCGTTATTACGCCTTTCCAAAAGACGTTATTACGCCTTTCCAAAAGGCGTTATTACGCCTTTTAAAAAGGCGTTATTACGCCTTTGTAATAGCCGTTATTACGCCTTTCCAAAGGGCGTTATTACGCCTCGTTTTTTTCAATACATGACTTACTTAGCCCATCTTGGGGGCTGATTATAATTAGATTTGCATTTACTATTTATTACAATTCAATCTTTATAACATATTTAAATTAAACAATGTAAAATGTTCAACATTCAATTAAAAAACTGCTCAAAAATCTATAAAGAAACAAGATTTATAAGGGACTATTTCTTGTGGTGGAAGGATATTTAGCAGAAATTTCTGCAAATCTACACATTTATTTATAATATTTAATATCTTGGAACTTTAGCCTCACATATTTTTACTCAGAGAATATATTCCGTTATGATATGCCTGGAATATTATATATAGGTCTCAATTTATATTTTTATATAATAACAAAATTTACACCTTTGCTCAACAAATTTTGCCAAGAAATGAAGAAGTCAAGATAAAATTTAAACAGTTTTTTGCCAGAAAATCGCATATTTTGACCAATATTTCAAAATTTACATCACTGACCCCAACTTTTTCTTTCAATATTTTAAACTACTCGATACTTTTGACCGATCAGCACTTAAGTCGTAAAAAGTTTGATACAAGAAAATATTCTATTGCCTATTTAGATTTTTAATACCCCAAATATGAGACTTTTTTAGTGCAAAAAGGTCACACAATAATTCACGCGCATTTATTTGCATGATTTGTTCAATGATAAATATTATTCAAACTATTTTACGTAAATTAAGATTATGTTTATTGCCATGGTTACATCTGATAAAATATGATAACGGTTAAAGTGATTAACCAAAGAGTTACAATTTAAGTGCAAAAAGGTCAACTTAATTGTACCGTAGCTCAGTTAGATGCACACTGACACCCTTTTCTCTGCGATCTTGAGTCATACTATATGAGTACTTATCCAAAATATACTTCTCAAAAAATCCTTGATATAAGAAATTTCACGAGTGACATACCTTAAATATTTTTTTACCGTAGTTTGATCCTCACTGCGAGCTCTTAAAGCAACGCCTGGGCGAAGAGAAAATTCGGACTTTGCACATTGATCCAAACGAATTTTTTTCCGCAGTTACCTGTGGTCCCATAATGCTTTGCGAATTGCATCTCGCCGCAAACAACGTTCTCGCAGTAACAAGAAGTTCCAAGATAAAAATAAACTCACCTTGATTTGATGTATGTATAGCAGATAAATAGTAGATTAAACCTTCTTTATTAAAATTAGCACTGTTTAGACTTCGTTTTGGTAATGCAACTTACAAGCGACGTCATCAGCTGGTCATGTGACGTCAGAGTCTAGACGTACTAAATGTCACGTGCGATTTGATGAGCCCGATCTAAATAAAACTGAATATAGGTATCTGTGCTCGCCCTAACGGTCGCGCCGTCAACATATTAGCGAGCGCAGCGAGCGGCGCGAAGCGCCGCTCGTCTCTGCGAGCTCTAACGACAACGCCTGGGCGAAGAGAAAATTCGGACTACTGCACACTCATTCAATAGAATTTTTCCGCAGTAATTCTGGATCCACAATGCATTGCATTGCTTGTTGCTTGCATTGCCTGTTGCCCAATCCTTATTGAATTACTCAATAAAATATGTTTAAATTATTGCTTGTTGTTCTCGCTGCTAACTTCGTTTGCGCGGTAACAACAACTAAAAATTCAGAAAAAATAAACTCACCTTAATTTAATGGATATTGCATACAGATAGTGGATTAAACGTTCTTTGTTTAAATCTTCGCACTTTTCAAACTTTGCTTATGGAAATGCAACAAACATACGACGTCATGCAACGTCACAGTCTAGACGTTCCGAATGTCTCGAGCGGTTTGAAGAGGCGGATCTTAAAATGAAGTGAACAATGCGCTCGCCCCAATGGTCGCACCGTCAACATATTAGGCTTTCGTAGAAATCGTACATACACTTATAAAATTTTCAAAAAAAACAACATACCACCATTATATCTTATTTAACATCTACCTAATTGAAAATAAATAAACAAAAAGTTTAAAAAGAACAATTATCATAATAACTGTTTATAAGATTAAATATATATTATAGGCCCTATGCTTGGATATGTATCCATAACAGTTCCCAATCTTAGCCTATGCCTATCAAGAACATCTTCTTATGAGTATCTAAAAATGAAGTTTTTCAACTTGGTGTTTAAATTTCCCGCAAAAAATCTCAGAGGAAATTGAGGAATATTTCTATTTTTAATTTTAAATTTCTTATACATATCTTTCACATGAATAACACATTTTCCAAATAAATAAAGTGTGTTTTATTTTTTTTAAATGAAAAAAATAAATATAAGGTTTTGTCGATTATGCAAATTATGTTGGTATGTACGGGCACTTGTCATTTTCCCGATGCATGTTGGGTAGTATTGAAATATGGCGGCTCCCATTCTGAAGTGGAAGCGGGTTACCAATACTACAGGACCGTGTCCGCGACCCAGACATGGTCATAGAGCAGTTGCAATCAAAGATCTGATGGTGGTTTTTGGTGGTGGTAATGAAGGAATCGTTGATGAACTGCATGTTTACAACACTGGTAAGTTTGTTTGGGTCGGAAGATAAAAGCCAACGAGTGTCGCCATCTTGTTTAAATGTCAAACTTCAGCGTCATCTTGACTATGAAAAGTTGCAGTGGTTGTTGACTGAACAATGTAAGCATATGAAAGAAAAAACATGTTTGCTAAAAAAGAATGAATTTAGTTTATGCTTTATTACTACGTGATTGACTTTGGCAGAAAATTTTGTATTTGTTCCGAAAATTCAAGATGGCGCCGCCCTATATTAAACCACGATGATATGGACAGTGTATAATTGTTCCATACCCCTTTGATTTATTAATAGATCATAAGGAACTGAGTTTTTTTAACCCAAGGATTTAATTGTAATACAAGACTTTTGAATATGTTGCTACTTGACAAAGTTAATGGCTCGCGTTTTTGGCAGTTGTCTACAAACAAACAAAATGGCGGCCTTCTTTGAAGCGGCGGCCGTAATGAAAACGAGGCTGGGTTATATTCATGTTGAACCCAAGGTAACCAGACAGTTCGGCCTGAGACACTTCGATAATTTTAACACTTTGAAATTTAGTATAATTCAGGGGCCTAATCAACATTTTGACCAAAGATGCCTTTTGGCTTTGCCCTCACAGTATTATAGAGACAAAAAAGAAATTACAACTGAAATGACTTGAAAATTAAGAGATAACTAAATTTTCAATATTTATAAGGCTTGTAAACACTAAAAATAGTTTTAAAATTGGTAAACTGATGTCAGTATAGGATATGTTAATTGAGAAACACATTGTGGGCTTTACTTAATCCAGAATAGATTGTGACTACATTATTTTTCACATCAGTACATCACAGTGGTGGCGATCAGGCATGTTAAATAAATCTCTATTGATAATCAGTTGTCAGTCTGTATAAAAATTGATACTTAAATAATTACCAAAGAATTATGCAAGTGAATCATGTAATTGCTGGAAATATAAAGTAATTATTTTCATTCAAAGTGATCATGGTGATTCTACTTGTTGAAAAAAATCATAAATTATTTTAGAAAATTGAGAATAGTCAATAGATTATGAGAGTAACAAAAATTACAAAATACTTCAAAGGTTAATTATCTGTTAGTATTAGCCCCTTCACGATAACTGTGGTACTACTCTTTTGCAGGGCAAATTAATAATGTTTGGCGAAGTTTTTGTTGACAGACAATTAAATGACCTATACAAAACAGTTGCTATTTATATAATAGTGTTGTACTTTGCATGCACTATGCCTAAATAGTAGTCAGGTTTTGACACATGGTGCACGAGCCGGAGGCGAGTGTACTGTCAAACCCTGACTACTATTTATACATAGTGCATGCAAAGCACAACACTATTGTTATTATAATGCTGACTGTTGTAAAAAAACAACAACATTTTCTCAATTTCCAATGTTTCATCACCTCTCACAATCATGTGAGTACAACCCTATTATGACGTCACGTTGTGCTACATGTACGTCATAATCTTTTTTCTTTAATTTTGAATGTTTCATGCATTAGGTATAATGTACAGATAGTTTCAGAGAATTTTAGTTGAGTGAAGAGGAAAAAATTGCAAGAAACTATTTTAGAAAAATTATTTTGTTTATTTTTTTTCTCTTAAGTGTAAAATATTTGAAACTAAGTTTATATATATTATACTGCAGTGCTTTATTTAACGGCGTCTGTGGCGAAATCGGTAGCGCGTCGGACTGACAATCTCGGGGTTGTGAGTTCGCTCCTCGGTGTGGGCACTGTCGGATTTTCTTCAGAAAAAGAAGTCGTGCACTATTTCGGCATAGTATGCTTACGCTATATAAATCCTTAGAACACTATGCGAAAATAGTTGGGTATTGATTTTATAGAGACAAACTGACAGGAAGCATAATAATACGTCATATTTCACCGAAGCATATCATTTTGCCCTTCAAATGAGCAGTACCGCAGTTATTGTGAAACGGTCTATTGAAATGAGAACAAATTATTTGCATTACATTTGCCAGGACTTTCAAAAAGATTAGAAAACAGATGTTACTTTACCAAAAATTGGAGGTACCTTGTGGAAGCAATTTCAATAAAATATTTATCAGTTTTTCTCCAACAGTATTTTGGCCAGTACAATCATGATTTCAGGTGGGTAGAAATACCAGGTACCAGCAACTTTTGAAAAGCCTGCATTTACACAGTAAAATAAGTCTATTTGGGAGTTAAAGAAACATGGTATTATTTGAAAATTGAATAGTTTCCAATGGATATGCAATATAGTACTATTTAGTATAAACAATAATAATACTTCAAATTATCATAATATTGACATTCATGCCTCATTTTTAAATTATCATAATTTTTCAGCCACAAACCAGTGGTTTGTCCCAGCAGTGAGAGGAGATATTCCACCAGGATGTGCAGCCTATGGTTTCATCTGCGACGGAACTCGCATTCTGGTATTTGGTGGCATGGTGGAATATGGAAAATATTCTAATGAGCTTTATGAATTACAAGCTAGTCGCTGGGAGTGGAAGAGGTTGAAGCCCAAATCTTGTAAAAATGGGCCACCGCCATGCCCAAGATTGGGTAGGAATTGTTTCAAAATTTCCCATTGATTATCATAACTCCAAGAAAGTATTTTCTAGCAGTACTTACTAAAGTTTTATTCACTGAATATAGGGCACAGTTTTACCTTGCTTGGAAATAAGGCATATTTGTTTGGAGGGCTTGCAAATGACAGTGAGGATCCCAAGAATAACATACCAAGGTAAGTTATGGTCAGTTCTATTAATTTAACTTGGATTTTATTAAATTTATTATTCACCTAAGAGAAAAAAGGCAAGGGAAATATGAAAAAAATTACATGTTTAAAAGAAATAAGAATTAAAACAAATGTGACATTGTGATTTTTATAAAGATCAGTGAATATACACGTTTCATTGAATTTTATCATTTTTTTTTGTTGTAGATATTTGAACGATCTTTATGTACTGGAACTTAAACCACATTCTAACACTCTCTCCTGGGATTTTCCTCCCACAATCGGACAGCCCCCTCCCCCTCGGGAATCCCACACATGTGTAGGGTACGCAGAAAAAGATGGCAGAAGGCCCCGTCTAATCATATACGGAGGAATGAGTGGTTGTCGTCTGGGAGACCTGTGGCAGTTAGATATAGGTGTGGTACTTTAATTTTCTTTTGAAACAAGGAGCCAGGGTTTATTTGTTTTAAACAAAGTCAAACATGAGAACATTATAAGACCGTCTTAGTCTAAATTTAGATGGTAATTCATATACAATTTTATGTACATGCACATGTATAAGATTTAAAAGGTGTTTTAATTATAAAACTTTGGGGTACAGAATTTAGCTTTCTTTGTACAACAAGTTAAGAATTTTGAAATCAAGTGTTGATTAATGGGTTCTTGATTAACAAATTCAATATGTTAGTTGCATTAAGTTACCCATATATGCTTATTTATTTGTGGCAGATACATATACATGGATTAAACCAGTAGTTCAGGGCATCCCACCTCTACCCAGAAGTCTTCACTCAGCAAATGTAATTGGTCATCGGATGTTTGTATTTGGAGGATGGGTTCCCTTGGTCATGGATGACGTCAAAGTGGCAACGCATGAAAAGGAATGGAAATGTACAAATTCCCTGGCCTCTCTTAATATTGGTAAGTTAGGCATATTAAATATTTTCTTTGACTTTAACCTTGCAAAAGGGAAATGAAATTTAAACATACTTAACTGAATCTGTCGTGTTTACCATGTGTTGAATTTGAACAATTCTGCTTGGGTTCAAATGTTTAAGTGACAGTGATCTTCAGTCTCTTTGATAACATTGACGAGCATTCAAAGCAAGACAATCCATTGTTCTCAATAATGGTAACCACTTTTTAGCAGCTTTTTATTATAAGGCCTATTATGACTTTTGTATTATACTTTTTAAAGAAACAATGACATGGGAGCCCTTAGCTATGGAGGTTTTTGAGGATTCCCTTCCCCGAGCCCGGGCTGGGCACTGCTGTGTCGCCATACACACTCGTCTGTACATCTGGAGTGGGCGTGATGGATACAGGAAAGCATGGAACAACCAAGTATGTGGGATTTCTATATACATATATATAGATAGGATGTTTTTAATTAATTTAAAAGATACTGAAGCTTGAGTACATTATATCTGGAGGTCACAAGAAAGGAAAAGGAAAGGATTGGGAAGCAAGTCAGATGTACATTTAAGTTTTTTTTCACCTTTTTATGAAAGGAGTTGCATAGAAATTTATGCAATATGAAAAAGTCTGATGATGTGAAGAAAAGTAATCACTAATATTGGTAATTCTGATTTTGTACAATGTATACTATATTGTAAAAATACATGTCTTTGGAAGTCTTCTTACAATTAAGATGTGAATTTCAATGTACAGAATGTTACTTTGATTTCTTTCTAGGTCTGCTTCAAAGACTTGTGGTTTCTTGAAACAGGTAAGTTTGTTAAAAATAAGTTACGTAGAATTGAGCAAAATTTTTCAACAATATCTGAAAAATTCTTTTTAAGTTCAAAAGTAAGTATCATTTGTTTATGTTCAGATATCATGTGATAAAATTTAATGATTCTGAGTTACATAATATTGATTAACTGTCAGAAAAATCATGGATGGTATGTGGGGGGAGGGGGGGGGGAACACTTTTACAAAATATGTAATATAAAAGGTTAAACTCATCATTTTTTTTATGTTAAACATTAAAGGATTGTGATGCTTTTACAGAGAAGCCCCCTGCTCCTTCCCGTGTTCAGCTGGTCAGAGCAAGTACAAACACGCTAGAGGTGTGCTGGGGAGCAGTGCCCACGGCAGATGCTTATCTTCTACAACTACAGAAGTATGACCTACCCCCTTCCCAGGCCCTTACTCCCACAGCGGTCCCTCAGACCAACCCCTTGATGAAGGCAGTCACCACCCCCAGCACTCCACAACCCACAGTGGTCAGAACACCTACTCCAGGTAAGGGGAAATAAATTTAGAATTCAAATATATGAATTCTGGAGATTTGAACATTAATGTTGAATGTTTTCTACACCTATCTTTCTTTAGATGAGGTTTTGGTGTATCAGTGATTTTATAATTCTTTTCTCTGCTTTTTCATAATAATAAGCCCAAATTGCCAGCACTTAGTCCATTTGATTTAGACAATAAAACACTCTCGGGAGAAGGTGTGTAAAGGACAAAAATTTCTACCTCTGATAATAAGAAAGAAAAAGAAAATGACATTAAACAAATGTTAAATGATAGATAAATAAATTTTGGTAGGTGTACTTGACTAAAATGTAGAACTACCCGGACATTAAAAATGATGCACTTAATAGTTATTTGATGATACTGCCAGTATATGTACAATGTTCCCATCAATAGTAAACTTTATTTATACCTGTTTTTAGGAATTGCACAGATTCGAACAAATTCTGGAGCAATAGGCTCCGTTACCATGGCATCGCCACAAACAATTAGAGGTAGATCTCTATGACTTTTTGCATGTCTGTATATTATCTTAGCTGGCCCCATAAAATAATGGGTGAGTTGTGGTGTAGAAATTACATTTTTAAAAAAGCAAACCTGGTGTAAGCGATGCAGCATTACATGTATATATATGAATCACCATAGCATGACAGTGCGCTTTAATATCTGTTTTATTTTTTTTTTTTAAAATGTTTTTGCATATTGGATTCAATTAGCAGTGCATATTTATTTATTTTTTTGTTTTGTTTTGTTTATTTCATTTTCTTTTATGTGGCTGATTTCAAGAACACTTCATTAGAACATCTACAGTATTCCTCCTGGAGTTAGTGCATTAAACAGTCTTTACAAAACTTCTTTCACCTCACTGGGTCATAGGACTAGCTAGTCAAGGAAAACAGAGAAAAATTAGTAGCATCCCCCCCCCCCCCCCCCCCCCCTCCGTTTTTGTACACCAGAAAAAGTGATTCCATATCAGTAATGATTAGGGGGCCTTTCCAGGCAATGTGTCACCCCTATACACAAAAACTTTAAATACCATATAAGGATAAATAACACCAACTTTTTTCAGAAATCAGCAATATTTTTCATAGATTTATATTCAAATGGGTAACCTGAATAATGTTTGCCATGAAAAGTGGGAGAATTTAGTAAGATTTTGTCATAGTGTTAAAAATACATACAAATTTCCCATTGAGTTACATAGATAAATGACACAATATCTAAGTACCAAAGAAAAGATAGGATTTCTTTGAATTTAAGGGATTTATTATTTATGTCATTTCTATTCAAATTCAGTAAAAAATTATATATATATATATATCAATCCATGCATCAAATTTTGTTTGTGTTATTTATCCGTAATTGAGTTTTCATGCTGATAGAAAATGTCTATTATAATTAGTTTGTTTTTTTTTTTAAATTGTTTTCATAAATGCAAACGAGTACCTTTATTTTGTGAATGTAAACAAGTGAGTATGGTGTATCCTACATAAGGTTTTTATGTAGGATGGCTATTTTGAGCGGGGAAATCAAATAGCCTGTTGGACTTCAACCAGTGTTCGAAATTCAGAATTATTTTCTATGGGTCCAAAGGACCCACAGATAAAGGGACTACACAAGTCCTTCCAGGGCTGCGTAGGCCCAAAAATAATACCATCAAAATATTTGGGAAAAATAAACATTTATATTTCCATTTCTATTTGTTTTCTCTGTGATAACTCTTTGAAAGCTGGGAGAGTTGATTTCTTGATCATTCTACCGGAATGCAAATTTCGCCAAGTGAAAGGTCAGAAACTAAGAAGGCCTTATATGCATGTAATTATCGTGCGGCTGTCTTTGTGTCTGACACTAAGGAGGCCTAATATGCATGTAATTCTCGTGCAGCTGTCTTTGTGTTTGACGTCAGTGGGCGGGGACTATTGAAATTGACATGTGAGGCCTCGTGTAATTTAAATCTATTAGTCTACATTTTTAAAATTTAAATTTACAATTTTATTTCACAATGAAATGGAAATATAAGGAATCACTGTCTAGTTAGTAGAGTATGCCAGGAACATCAACGATAGTTGGAAACGTGGGATAATTTATGCATAACGGGCTTCGCCCGTTATGCAAATTATCCCACGTTTCCAACTATCGTTGATGTCCTGGCATACTCCACTAACTAGACAGTGATTCCTTAAACGTATTGATGATCTCGGTAAGTTTTTTGCTTCATATGAAATATATGTCAATTTAATAAGGGGTATCTACAACTCGCAAGTATTAACAATATGAAACGGTAAAACATTAATCGTCACACAGTCTTACTTGGTCATATATAATACGTAATAAATTTAACGTGTTTATATTAATGTAAACATACTTTTCCTTGGAATTACAATTTCTGTTTTTAAAATCTGAAGGTAGAAAATTACGCAGGTTTCTTAGATTGCCACAATATGTTGATAAAATGTACTTAAGTATTTTGGACAATTTTCCGTGTAAAGTTTGTAACCGCATATATTTAAAAAAGCGTAAATTTATTTCACGCAGGAAAAAAAATCAAAATCTTCAGTATTTATTTAAAATGCATATGAAAAGAAGAATTGATACGATCTTGATAAAAATTTCATGTTTTACCCATCTTAAGTCCAATTTCTTTTAAAGATGCTCATTGGTTAATTTGTTTTAAGAAATGAATGTAATATTTTTTTCTTTGACCGAAGTATCAAAGAAAAAATTGGGACGGAATACGTCATCAATGCGCGTAGTGTTGTTTTTCACATGCATTCGTTTCCTACAAATTAACAGATTAACGGCTTTCCCCGCTTTGGTAGCATAAAAACATTTCTTCACAGTTCTATTGTTCGTACCAGTTATCTCAAAGGCAAACATATAACATAAGTATGATGTTTTCTTTCCTTCTTTCACGCAATTGCATTGTTGACATTGCAGACGATCTTATTTCTTTAGCAAAGGGGAATAATTTGAAAAGAAACGAAAGTAGAAGATAACTCAGTAAAGTAACGGACAAGTTTTGAAATTCAAGAAAATAAAGTAAAAGTATTTCATTTTTCTTTCACAAAGTAATCTGGAAGCGAGAAGTATACATGTAAAGTCAGGCAAAGTAGTTCTGGCTGCTAAGTGCAAGTGAACTGCAGATTCTAGTGATGAAATTATCAAAAGAATTTTTTATCCAATCAGAATTAATTATTTTATAGAAATTAAATGATTAATATATCCAATTAAGATGCAGGAGAGATATCATGTTAACGTAGAACCTACGTCGTATGACGTCATAGTTAAGTGAACGAATGCAAGACTGTCTCAGCTAATGAAAATACACAACTGTGATAAGTGAATGACATGCAACTATTTTGAAGGAATGCAAAGTTGCAAAGAAATCTTCAGTCAACTATTAAATAGTGCAATATCTTGATGATATATATCCTCTGAGTCTTTAATTTATCAAAGGTTGTGTTTAATGTTTGTAATGTCTATTATGAAATGAAATGTATTTATTTTTATAATTATTTCTTAATTATTTACTTGGATTTTTAGTGGTTCATGTATAATAATAACATTTCGCTAAAATATTAATTTCTAAAGAGAGATTTTCATTTTTTGATAACTATTCATATTGTAAATCTGAAAGTATCACCAAAACATTCATTTAATCATGAAATCCTGTGTAAGTGCAAAAAGGTCAACATGTCTAGTATTGATAAAAAACACCTCTCTCATTAGTTTGCGGGGTATGGTATATATTTTAATAATTTTTCGTAATCATTTGGGTATGTTCTTCGTCATATTAAGGATTGAAAACACTGTCACAAGACTTTTGGTAAATATTTACAAATTTAGGGTTGTAGATGGACTAAAAAATCCTTTAAAAAATATTGAGCACATTTGCGTATATTTATTGAAATGTGGATTTAATCTTTTATGTCAATTTAAGAATAACCATTTTAATTTTTAGTAATAGTTCTAACCATTCTTAGTTAAAGTCTATAAACAAAGGTGTTTGAAGAAGTATTTTTGTGATTTTCTGTATTCTCCTTATGACCATGTACCCCTAAAATGGCTGAAAATTATAGTTGCCGTGTATAATAATCATTTTAAATTGCACCGGCTGCACTACATTCAATAACATGGAAATATGCCATGTATTTTTAACTGATTAATTTGCAAGTGCTAATTACTCATTTTGAAAAGTTTGAAAATCCTGTGACAAAGACTTTTCTGACATAGGTTCTACCTTAATGTAAATGCATAAACCAATATACTTTAACTTCAATTGCAACTTCTTAAGCCTTTCCAACAAGCGGTAAAGAAAAACAACGGTGTATTTTTCCAAGCTCCTCGGAAAGGTCTGAGAAGGTGTGATTGACGTTAACTTGTTTCCCGGCAAATCATTGTCGGCCCAAAATTATTTCAAGGACCCATTTAGTCATACTATTCGTGAGTCCTTCCATTTATATATCAGCGAAGGACCGACGAGTGGACGCTAATTTCGAACACTGACTTCAACTGTACCTAGCTGGTTCTACTGGCAAAAGTTTTGGTAAAGACTGATTAAATAGCAGTATGGCCTTAGTATAAGGAGGAATACTGTATTGTTGCATGGATTTTCTCTGAGGAGGAGTACTGTGTTGTTTTTCACATGTTGTGCACTGCTTTATGTCCATAACTTAATTTTTTATTTTTATTTTCAAAAGGTTTAGAGTTTTTATTGCAGTGCTTTATAGTTTAGAAATAAAAAATAAAGTGCTGGATATATTAAGTTAATGATATGAGGATTTTGAAAGTGTATGAAATTCCAGTAGATTTCTTTATCTGTATGCATTGGTGCTGGATTTTATTATTCAGGTATTTTAACTTGATGTAGAAAACTAACTCCATGCTTTTTATGTGTGCCTGATGTTTTATGTTTTGTTTGCCCAAAGATTTTTATGAAATTGAAAGTTTTCTTTTATTTAGGTTCAAAGTAAATTGAAGTTAACAGAAATTATTCATTTTTTTGGACATGTTTAACTATCACAGTCACTGATTGCATCAGTTACATATTTCAAATATAAAGACATCTTTTGGAAAAATTCAGTGTTGATTCTATGTGCATTGAACATGACTAGATAAGCTTTTTCCTGTAGGTGGTATGTTACTTATGTTTGACTTAAATATCACTGACAGTGTGAAAATTTTATTAAAGTGAAGGGAGAGAAAGTGATTTTTTTTTATTTTTACTTATAGTAACAGCAGTAACTGCCAGACAAAAAACACCAATCACAGTCAACCCTGGAACAATCAGAGTAGCCTCCCCTCAGGTCGTGACCCTGCCACAGCAGAGAGCTGTAGTATCTAACACGGTAATCAGATTAATTACAGGCTTTAATATGATCCTAAAAACTGTGTTACAATTTCTTTTTCAAATGTCCTAAGAATATCCCACATACAACAAGTTCTGTAACATAGTCAAATCTGACGTTTTTTTCCTGGCGACTTTACTGTTATTGAAAGATCGCAATTTTTTTATGTGTATGTTGTAGACTGGTAATCAGATGTCTGGTATTCAGGCTTTGGCAGCTGCCGCGGCAGCCACTCAGAAAATACCGGGCACCACCACCACTCCATCCACTCCAGGCATCAAGGTGGTGACCCCGACTATTGTAACTCCAACAGGGGTCAAGGTCACACCTATTGGTAACCAAGCACTGAAAAGTAAGCCTTCTCATATTGCATCATTTACATGTACATGCATTTTTAGTATTAGCACATTTTCTAAAGAATTTGAAAGATCTATATAATTTGAAAAGCTTTAAGCATAAATAATATTCCATGCAGGGAAAATCATTTTGACACATTTCAGTGATTGTAATTATTGTGTCTAGAATATTTCTTATTCAAAATTGCTGTCATATGGTTAAAAACTGGTAGCATACAAGTCTGACTGTTAATTCAGTTTATTACCCATTCACCATGTTCACGTAGCAATGATATTGCAAACAGATTTTGATGACCATGACTGCATACTTGTATATCTGTTATAAAAATGTAAATCATTGGTGGTGTTCAGTAAAAACCTAAGTTCATATGTATGGTCTCTGACATTTTAGCTACTACCGCCAACCCAACCACCCCCACAGTGAGAGTGGCAACACCTGGAGCCACCATCCTTAAGTCCACACCTGGAGCCATTCAACAAACGATTGGTGGGAAACAGATCATCACAGTCCATAAGGCCAGTACTGGTGGCACATCAACCACTGGTCAGCCACAGATTGTTACACTGGTCAAGACAAACCAAGGCATGCAGGTGGCCACAGTAAGTATCAAGTTTTATCATTGTCCTTATTGTCCTTGAGTCATTAGTAGTGTATAATTTTTGACTCCAAGGAAAAAAAAATGTTTTTCTTGGTTAAGTATTCAAGAAGCACATATTAAAGAATACCAATAATATTTCTTTATTTTTGGAAAGGAAAGGGCATGTAAAAATAAAAGATATACTGTAGATTTTATAAATTGAACATCAATGAAATTGTTTTCTTAAGTTTGTAATTTTTTCGGTGATACACATATAAAAAATATGCCCAAGATCAGTAGGATTAAAGTGATTCGTTTCGCTTATAGACAAAGGGGCCTCTGCCACAGGGAGCCACCATTGTTAAGCTTGTCACCACACAGGCCGGTGGAACTGGTAAACCCACAGCCATCATCACCACAAGTCAGCCAGGCCAGACACCATCAACAATTCTTGGAATCAGCAGCGTACAACCGCAGGTACAGTACAACAGGAGAAGTACATTTACAGTAAAACTCGGTTATAGTGAAGTCACTGGGACCTGTGAAATTACTTCGCTATATCCGTAATTTGTTATATCTGTATAAGGAATTTGTTAAATTTATATTGCTGGGGATCCAAGAAAACTTTGCTATACCCGTGAATTCGCAATATCCATGTTCGCACTAAACGAGTTTTACAGTGTTTTTACAGGCTATTTAGAGCATATTGTACATGTATTTATAGTTAACATCCTCTGAAGAATGAAAATATTGTACAGATTCAGAGTAGTCCTAAATCTCAACATTAGTTAATAAAACTTTAAAGACATGTTTCTTTGATATGTACACCAAAAGTTTTCTATTATTCCAGAAATAAATTTTTTTTTGCCTCCCCCCTTCCCCCTTACCAAACAACCTAAACCACAAAACTTTTATTTTATTCTTGACTTAATAAGTCTTTTTTTAAGTTATATATACATGTAGAAGGAGTGATTAACAAAATATTAACTTAATTTAAGGAAGCTTGTAGCTTGTATAATTTAACTTTTCAGTCATCCACAACAAAAACCATCATCAAAACTATCCCATCTTCCATGTTGTCAATGGCTAAGGCAGGAACCAGCACTGCAACGACACCAGGTGGTGCTAAAACCATCGTCATAGCAGCACCCAAAGGCAGCACTGGGGGGCTGACAGGGACTCCACACAAAATCATCAGCTCAGTCCCGAAAATAGCTGGTCAGGGAAACACCCAGTTCATAGTGGTCAGTCCACAGAGCAGTGTTGGTGGGGCTCATACCATCACATCAGGTGGGTCAGATGTTTGAAGAGCTAGCTATTCATAGATTTATCAATGTCATGGTGAGCTTCTGTCATTTTTATGTACATGAAGTTGTATCTGTATTTTACACACGGGGAAGTTCTTGTTTTTCTGTGTAAAGTGATGACTTAAATGATTGGGGGAAAAACATTTCTCTTTAAGCAATTTAGAATAGTTATTACAGAAAATTAAAGTGAAACACTCCATAATGCTGATAACTAAATTTACATGTAGCTGCTTTTTTATGTTAAACTCTTAATTATAAATACCAGCATGTAATCTTTATAGGTGGTAAGCCCATACAGGTGACAACTCTACAGACTACGTCAGGCGTTACATTAGCAGGTCATCAGATTGTCACAGCCTCACAAGTCGCCAAGCCAGTCATTCAGCAAGGTAAACAAGGAGAAGTCCTTAAAAAATCTGTTTAATCTCTGAGTTCCTTTCCTTGATAGACACACATTAATTCAAAGTTCCATGTTGTACAATAAATACTTAGACAAATAACAGAAGATATGATCACAATGTCCTTTTTCCCTTCAGCTCCTGTCATTAATTTATGAATAGGTACATGTACATGTATATTAAATAGAAATGGCTATAACAAAAAAATTAAAAGAAAATGTCATAATAATAATATTTGAAAAATTACATAAAACTGTTAAGTTCAAGATTTTGTGTAAATGTTTCACTGTTACTATAGGAACAGGAGGAACAATAGTGAAGACTATTCAGGCCACACCCACAACTCTGGCTGGATCTGCCACCTCTCTCCTTATTAACACCACAGCAGGATCCGCCCCTACACAGTCAACGCCCACAATCTCGCTCATCACACAGCCTTCAGTCTCCCAGACACCGGTCACCTTGACCACTCAGACAATCTCAGCCACACCCATCCAAGCCACGGGCAGTGGAAAACCAGTCCAGATAACTATTACTCCAGCAGCAGCTTCAGCGACTGTCCAGGCCCAGCCCACAGTACAGGTCACACCTACAGTTACACAACCCTGCACTGATGGTCATAATTGTCCAGGCGATGAAACTCCTCAACCTGCTGTATGTACGGATGGCCACAATTGTCCAGGTGATGAGACAGCTCAGCCCAGTGCTGTTTGTACAGATGGGCACAATTGTCCAGGTGATGAAAACCCAAAGCCTGCTGTATGCACCGATGGTCATAACTGCCCAGGAGATGAAAATCCACAACCATCTAATGTATGCACAGATGGACACAATTGCCCTGGTGATGAAGTTGATGGAGTTCCCCCTGCTGCTAAAGGACAATGTACAGATGGACATAATTGTCCAGGTGATGAGAATGCACAGTCCCAAAATGTTTGTGCTGATGGGCATAATTGTCCTGGTGATGAGAATCAGTCACAGTCTTCTAATGCCTGCACAGATGGACACAACTGTCCTGGGGATGAAAACCCCCAGTCTGGAGTCTGCACTGATGGACATAATTGCCCAGGAGATGAGAACCAGCAGCAACCGAATGTTTGTACAGATGGCCATAATTGTCCTGGGGATGAAAACCCTCAGCCTGGAGTGTGTACAGATGGGCACAATTGCCCAGGTGATGAAAACCCTCAGCCTGGAGTGTGTACAGATGGGCACAATTGCCCAGGGGATGAAAACCCTCAGCCTGGAGTGTGTACAGATGGCCACAACTGCCCAGGTGATGAAAACCCCCAGCCATCAAATGTATGCACAGATGGCCACAACTGTCCTGGTGATGAGAACCCAGACCAAACTGCAGGGCAGCAGGCGACCTCTGACCTCTCAGATAGTGCTGCTGTGGTGGCTCCCTCTGTCCCACTGGACACGAATGCTGCAGTGTCTGTGTCGGAGCAAGTTCCTGCAATCCTGATGCAGGATACTGAACCTAAAATGGAACCAGAAGCCATGGACACAGTGGCATCAGTGGACGCTGCTCAACCAGAGTTACCAGTAACACAACCACAGGAGGTAGCGCCAGCACCAGAGGTGGCACCGGCACCAGAGGTGGCGCCTCCACAGGAAGCACCTGCTCCAGACTCCACAACAGCAGTAACTGCATCACAAGGAGAGATAACTTCTATTGTTCCAAAGCAGGAAGAGCCTATGGATATTGGGCCAGCCCCTGTAGCAACCCTCCAGGGGGCAATATTGAGTGTTGGACCTCCTGTTGGGGCAACACCTCCTCAGCCAGTAGATACTTCAGCAGCAGACTCTGGTAAGATTGATTGATAAGTCTTTGTCTATATACATGTATCTTTTGTTAAGAACCACTTTTATCATCATTTGATAGGGATATGAATCACATTTCTCCACAGTTTCATGAAGCAGTAGTTTGTAATATGTAATGATTTTATTTAGCACATAGCAGCCTTACTTTGATAAAAGTATCCCTTGTTTGATAGCCATGACCACAGTAAAAAGATAAATATGTGTTAATTAGTATGACTGATTTGAATTTTATGTTTTACTGTTAGATCCTTTGGCAACTCTGGCTTCAGCAGCAATATCATCTGGCACAGCTCAGACCACAATTAAACAGGAGCCAGGCGTTCTAGCAGCCAATGGAATTAAACAGGAAGTGCAGGTAATAGGCTCTACCTCTGCAGAAAAATCGTCTCTCAAAAATTTGAAATTGAGTATAGTAGTCAGAAATGTAGATAATGTTAAAAAAATTACACATCTATGTTACGAAAATTCCTTTAGCTTGCATCCTTAATTAACCACTAAAACATTTTTATAGAAAAAAAAAATGCAGACTTTTTGAAAAAAAAAAAAAAATAGCCATGGAAAAAAGCTACGGTCATTTATCTGCTGAAAAAGGGTCAAACTGAATACTGTATCAAAAAAAAAAAAAAAGCAAGAACATTGGCCTAGAATTGTATTTATAACTGTGTTACATGTACAGGTGGACATGAATGTCATAAATGAAGATAGCATGTATTAAAACTTACATGTACTTTGCAATAGAAATTAAGATAAAATCACACCAAGGAGTGACCATCATAAATTGAAATGTATTGATTAATTGTAAAAATTGACTTGTTTTTCAGGACAAGCCTGAGGCCATCCCCAGGACACCGACAACACCAGTGAAGAAGGAGGGTAACCAGTGGTATGATGTGGGGATCATTAAAGGCACTTCATGTGTTGTGTCTCACTTTTATCTCTCTGCTGATGCCTTGCAAGCTAGCGGTAATGGAAATGTAAGTACTGTATACAAATGAAATTTTTATGTGTCTAACACCTGCATGTAGGTCACATTTAAGCTGATGGTCTGGAGACCAATTTTTTCTCGTATCGTCAGCTGAAAAAACATGGATGGCCTAGAGTAGTATTGGGTGACGCAGAGTTGTCGCATTGATTTCTTGGTACACCGATGCCTTTAAAAGTTCAAATATTTTTAAGTCGGCCAACCGTTGCCCGATCATTGTTCGCTGAGCTACAGTTTGATTTTCACCGTCGGTCGACATTTACGAAAACCCAATACCTAAATGTCGACCTACCAACGACCGATTAAACAAACTGTCTGCTGATGAGCGGATGATGATTAAAGGTTGGTCGATGGACTTATCAAAGACTGTCTCAATTGAAGGAATCTGTCACTGATGCGGAAAAAAATAATAATTAGGCCCGACGGACAAAAAATTGGTCGGCCGACAAAAAAAGAGGTCAAAAATGGGCAAGACAACGACCTATGAACTGCCGATAGTTGCCTGAAGAAACCCATTTTTGCCTCAGAAACCGTCGGCCGTTGGTCGGTTTTAGAAATGTGACTGGGGTTTTAGAGATGCATGTATCTTATTCCCACTGTCCAGAAATATTGTCATTGAGTGGAGTTTTCATGTTTAAGGCACATTGCTAACAGAAATGTAGCCTCTTGTGCTCATTGTCATTGTGTAAAAAGCAAAATTTTTTATGCTTGTGTGAATGGAACTTATTTAGCTATTAAATGAATACCTGAAAAAATTAACTGTAGTACAAAAAAACATTTTGCAATTTACATGTATTTAACTCATGGTGATCAAAGAACATTTCGGTACATACAGAGAAGGTTAAAACATGGAAAAATCTAGGTGTGCTAATTTTTTTGAAAATAATAGAAAGCACATGTAAAGCACTATCAGTGCCCTGAATGTGATACATCATTGAGGGTGTTATTTTGACCTTTGATCTTTGTACTCGTGCAACAAAAGCAGATGTGACTTAGGAATCAAATATGTTATCCTAATGTATTTACAAATTAAATTCCACTTTATTATTTTAGCCTTAGAAAATTTTAACTTTCTGAGAAAAGGCTAATTTTGCATCCTATTAGGATTTGGAAAAAAAAAAGATATTTTTTTTTTATTATTATATACCACAGGATTTTTTGATTTAAATATTAGAATGCTACGTTGTACTTTACAATTCTATCTGAAAAAAATTCAATTGATATTTTGAGAGTGCTTGTGAATTAAATCCAGAAGTGTGATTATTTTTTAATTTTCCTCTTTTTAAATAGGACATAGATGTTGTGAATGTTGGTGATGTGAATGTCTTGAAGAAACAAGAACTCCTTCCAGGAACAGCCTACAAGTTCCGCGTGGCTGGGATCAATGCATGTGGGCGAGGTGCATTCAGCGAGATATCGGCCTTCAAGACCTGTCTACCCGGCTACCCTGGTGCCCCCTCCGCCATCAAGATCAGCAAGGTAGGAGGCAAGGTCAGCATCATCCACAGGCTTGTTCAATCTTTCTATCATCTTTATTTGCTTCTTCCATCTTTCTATCATCTTTGCTTACTTCATGTGTGAATTGTGCTGTATCATTGCTTTGTAAATGTCATTGCTTTTGAAAAAAAAAATGGGGGAAGGAACATTATATCTGCTTTATAAAAGACATTTCATAAGAGCAAAATCTTTGAAAATATGTGTATCCTGATTTAACTATAAAAACTTCAACTGTGTAATTAAATCAACAGTAGTAAAAAATCATGGCTTTTGATTTATCTGTAAACAATACAAGGAATTTATTACATCTATTAAAAGCATTGCAAAAGCATGTTATAAAAATAAACTTGAATTCTAAAATCATTTTTCTAAACATGGTGATATGAATGAGATTTTCACCTCATATTCAGTATTTAAGAAGTTTCTTAGCTGCACCATCTTCAAGATATGTAAAGTCACGAAAAAAGAGTTTTCTATATGTATTGTAGAGTACAGAAGGTGCCCACCTATCCTGGGAACCTCCACAGAATACAGCTGGCAAGATCACAGAATACTCTGTATATCTGGCTGTACGTAATGCTGCTGCCCATGTAGATCAGAAACCTGGAGCTCCCGCCCAGCTGGCTTTTGTCCGAGTTTACTGCGGCCCTGCCCCCACCTGTACAGTGACTGCAGCTAGCCTTGCATCAGCGCACATTGACTACACAACAAAGCCAGCCATTATCTTCAGAATCGCTGCTCGTAATGAGAAGGGTTATGGTCCAGCTACGCAAGTCAGGTGGCTTCAAGGTATGTCTGGAATTCTGCTTCCGTTTCATTCCTAGGTCATCAGTCCCAAAATCATGGAAATTATAGTACTGTTCTTTTTTGTCAAAAAAAATTTAAAAACTTTCAGATTTTCAGTCAAAAACTGTTTTTTGTTGAATGAAGTGCTGTGGTTTACAGTGTTACACTTCATAAAATTATGTTAACAATTGTGTAACTTAAAGAAGAAATTATCTGTGAATATTGATTTTTAATGAACGTCTTGTAGATGCCCAGAGTCCTGCTGCTCAAAAAGTTGCCATCAAAAGAGCCATCCCAGCTCAAGGGGATGGGTGAGTAATACCGTCGTTCTTCAGGATTCATTAAAATTGATAATCTTTCGTAATATTATGCTGCACATATTGACATGAATGTAGATGTAATGCTTTGAATATAGACTTGAACACGTCATTTTAAAATCATATCTACAATTCAGTAAAAATGTCAACAACTAAGATTTTATGTTGTACTTTCCAAAACAAGGTATATGTAAAAAATAAGCATAACTTCTTTCCCCATTAGACCCCAGGTGGTTGGAGGTGGTCAAGTGAAGAAGCTGAAGACTGACGAGGAAAATGAGAAATCAATGTAAAGAGAAAAATAAAAGGCCAAAGGGAAGCAACTCGTGATTGGCTATCCAAAGTGACCTATCCCGATTGTCAGAAGATGGGACAATTTGTGTGCTTATTTAAAAGTATATAAAAATATTTATATACACTTTTACTGCAATGTTATCTTGATGTTGAAGTTCTTGAACGAAATTTTATTTCTGTTGTCACTCATAATTAGCAGCTAAATCTTTGTATTATTCATAGGGCATCTATCATTATTTTTATCATCGTCTTCATTGTTAGATTGTTAGACCAGTGGACTCGCTCTCAGCATTGCTGTTTATCATTCCTGTTGTGACTGCTATTCCCTTCCTGTTGAAATATTTTTATCGTGTACATCGACTTTGTTTACAGCAATTGTGTAGGTCCCTTGTATACAATCATGTCAAAGTAGATTCATACGGTTTCTCTCGTCAACATGTAACTTCAATTTAAAGTACATATATTTAAGAAATTACATGAGAATTAAATGTAGGTTATTTTTACCATTACTTTGGGAGAATCAAATATTAGAAATATTGATATTTTTATCATTCATTAAAATTGCTGATGTGCAGTGTTTCATATGTATTGGAGGTCTGCATACTGAATGCTTCATTTGTTTGAAGAAGTGCAATTCTTTGTTATTTTTTTTTATGTATAAATGTTAATGACTTTTTAAAGTAGTGATTCAATTTAGAGTTTTAGTGGTTTAGGAATTAAAGAAGATCTGTGCATACACATGTATAAGGAATATTATTTTTACAAATTATCATACAGACAATATTAAAATTGAATGCAGTGTATTTTTGCTTTGCCAGAGTTGGTTTATTCATTTCAAATATTTTTTTTTATATTTTCCCCCCATAAGTTATTGTAATAAATGTTAAAGTAAAAGCAATTAAATCTGTAAAATACTCGACCATCCCTGATAAAATTTTCTGTGGAAGCTATTCTCCCAGTGCAGTCAATGTGCTACACAATGTCATAGATCTGTCAATATTTTGTAAATAAACTGTATATTTTACAATTAATTAAAATAATTAAAAATCATTATTTTGTGTTTTATATCTGACATTTTACATGTATAGATATAGTTTTCCCTTTGTATGCAAAATGTTTCTACTTAAAGTCTACATTCATGCAAATAATGTAAATCTTAAACCTGTCTCAGCTTAAAGTGATTAGGGACAGGAGAATAGATTTAGTGGAGAATATATAAATTGAGTAACTTGTGGGTCTGATATGAAATGTCTATGAGTTCCTGTGTGGTTTCTGCTATAGATTCAGCAGTGAGTGCAGTGTTTGGTCTGGCCATTGTCTGAAGCTTTGATGGTATTACGTCCCAAAATGTTACGTTTTTGAAGGTTTTTCTACTGTAAATTGCTATCTCAAGGTCATCTCTCTACAATTTTGAAATGTCATTGTGTGAAGTTAATTCAAAGAAATGGGCAAACATTTGTATTAAAAAAAAATGGAGAAAAAACCCAGAGACCATAAAAAAAAACTTTTTCCAAAAGAATTTTCCAATCTGTACATGCGCAGCTTTATTGTCGTTTTAAAATCCATACTTACTTGTAGCGAGGATAGGTCAGTGGAAAATGGGACCTGTCCATTGCAGCAAAATTGGGAAAAAAATATTTTCTTTTTAAACAAACAATCAAGGTAATTGTTAGTGTAATTTCATATACTGATTTATTAGAATTTCAAAATAGTTCAATTTTGGTTCTGTTGCACAGAGAGCAAAAGCAAATTTTCCCATCTACTGAAATCTTAAAACTCGTACATTTCCATTTATTTATAAGAAGTGTTACTATGTTATAGTAACTGTTAAGATGAGCATACTTACATATTACAAGTTGACAAGGTTTTTCAATGTATTAATTTATGTAAATTCTGTGCACAACTTTGTAAAGTCTGTCCAGCTGTGGTTAGCAGACCAAATCGTTTGTTTGACTGGACATTAAAACTATGATTCGCACAAGATTCCTGTAGGTCACACTTCAAATGCGCCCATCTTCCTTTACGAAATTTTAAGTGATCCTAACAAAATGTTAAAGATCAGAAGTTAGATATCAGATTGGTTTTGTATAACCCACAAAGTTAAATTCTATGGCTTTAACAAATCAAGTTTGTTTTCTAATGTTTAGTATACAATGGGAAAATTATTGTATTGTTGCATGGGGAGGGGGCACACCCCCTCCCCCTTGTGCCCCCGGTTCCCAGGAGCCTGCTTTCCATAAGTACAATGTAGGTGGAACTAATTACAGAAGAAATTCATTAACTCGTTCCACTTGCTTTCAAGCAAAAAAATCTGAGGCAAGAGTCAAAGTGTAATAATTATTGATTTACTTCTTAAACAGTACTTCAGTCTATCTACATACATGTCCACAATATGATACCCTGAGAAAGGAAGAACTTCAAGTTACTCTGAAGCGTCGAAACGTTATTGTAATTCCTACGAGATATCCTCATTGAAATCTTTTTAGTTTTTAAAGATTAGTGTTTTTTTTTAAAATTCATAGAAAACCCTGCCCGTCAAATATCAAAACAAACAGAAACCTGACTTAGAAAGTGTTGTGTATACATGTATATAAGGACCAAAGGTTGTCAAATAATTATAGAAGATAAAAAAGTACAAGATTTGTATGAGAATGGGTGTAGAATGACATTTAAATACATGAATATTGATACGCAGTGAAGTTATATTCTGAACTAATTATCCTGGTTTTTCTCACCATTGAATGTTTTTGAACCCCCCCCCCCCCCCCCAAATAAAAAAGAAAATGAGTTGAACACGAAATAATGTTTTGACAGCACGCAAAAGTCCAATGAAACTGTAACTATATATTGATATATATAGAACATGCACGCCTAGATTTAGTATATGTATATACAGTACTGAAAGCTGGTATCTTATACAAAGGTTCACCTATACTCTGGTAAGTTTTAAGAAATTTTTATTAATTATGTACGAAATGTACTGTGATAATATATATATATATATGTATATATATATATATATATATATATATATATATAGTTATAGCCGAATAATTTAGCTAAATCTAGATCGATCTCGAAAAGCCGAAAAACAGAATGATGCAAATTTTAAGAAAACTGTTCTCTGCATTTACAGAAAAGAAGTACACGTGTTTCATATGGTTTCTCCTCAACCTTATAGTAAAATATATTCTATATACATGTAATTAAACGGAGACCAAAAATGTGCGATGATACATGTATAATTGTTTATTTATCCGTATAGGCAGAAGATTTACGAAAATGACAAAACCTGTTTTCGGCGTTTTAACTGGTATTACATTCTGTGTTTTGCAGTTGGTTGCATTCTCGTATGGTGAGTAAAAATATAATGACATACAATACAGAAATAATATATCTACTGAAGCGTATTAGTGCCACTTGGACACTTTTTTATTTTTCATTTTCCACACTGTAATCTGTAAATTTTACACATGACTTTAATCTGTATATTTTACACTTTAATCTGTAAATTTTACACATTAATCTGTAAATTTTACATATTAATCTGTAAAATTTACACTTTAATCTGTATAATCTACACTTTAATCTGCATAATTCACACAATCAATTTGGCAGCTTCATACATCTTTTAAAGTAACGCGCCTTAAAGCCAACAGAGCATGAATCCTACGTGATAAAATCTAATTTTGATTTCTTATTTTACAATAAACGTGGAAAATAATTACTTATCAGATATTATATGTATTGATATAATACAAATAATAAGCAATCTGGTATCACTGATATAAGTGAGACTTTCGTAGAATATTTGAAAGAATTATGAATTCAGTGGAAGTGAAGAGCAAAGCAAACACACATATCTCAATGAATATGATACTGACATCATTATATCAAATTCATTTGATGCGCTAGGCAGTTCAATTATTGATAGCATTAATTGAATTACATTCAATATTTATTACTGGCACCAATTGAATTACATACTGAATGGAAAATTTTTAAATTACCAATTAATATATTAATTATTAAAGTATATACATGTAAATAATTAAAGTATATGATTTTATATTAATTTTGGAATAGCATAGAAATTAATATCCTTTGATTCAATGAGGTTTTATTATTGTTACGTTCTAAAATTACCGTAATTTTAACTGTTCTATTTTACATCATGATCATAGACCCATAAACATGTACAGCAATCTGAACTGCAAGTGAGAAGACAAACATATTTGAGATAGATATTTTTTACTGTTCGACGCTCTTTACTATAGTACTAAAGAAATATACTGGATTGAAAGCAGATTTCCGATATTTTGCTGGGGAAAATTACGAGGCCAATGAGAAAATCGCCCAACCTTACTTATCACAAGTATTAGCTTTCCTAAAAAGCTTGTCTGACTTGAGCAAATTTATTTTTACCCGAAGAATCAAGAAAAGTTAAATCCAGTGTAACCAACATGACTCTGAGTCATGAAATGAATTAGCACTAAGAAACAAGAAAAGTTCAATTCAGAAACTTGGACATCAGTTTATTCTATGTTCGGGAACCGTGAGCTCAATAATTTCGAGGATTTATACATAGGTACTTTATGCTTGTGTCCCCTGAATTATGTAAATATTAACTTTGGATATTTTTTTTATGCCCGATAAGGAATTTTTCCTTGATTATGTCCACCCGAAACTGAAATTTTCTGAAATTTATTCCAACGGGCCTGTTAATGAATAGAAAGATATAACCAGTGCTTTTGAAAGAAAAAGTTACAACACATAAAAATCTAAATATCAATTGGTGAACAATTTTGATAATTAAGAAATGTCTTATTAAAAATAATAAACGTGTTTCAAATGACTTAATATCTTTGCAATTAATTTAAAGCAAAAGAATATTCAACATTCATCCTTCACTTTGATATTTTTTTTAAACTATGAATAAATCAAACGTCTGCTAGTTATGAATATGTGTAGATTTATAAAAATTCTAAAGGTAGAGGGACATAGTGCATGCATTGAAAATAAACATCCAATCAGTAATTTATCTGATAGTGTTGACCTGACCAGCTTCATTCCTTCTGTTTTTGCTGTACATGAATGATGCAATTTTCGAGAATGGCCAAATGTTATGTAACCTGTAATGTATAATGTGATAATAATGGCATTGGCTCCAATACTCTGGCTTGTTTGGGTGTTTAGCATGTTTCCTATACTCCACATGCTCGCCAATTAATAGTTTAGATAGTATGAAGTTTCCAAGATCAAGTTATCACAAGAATTCTATTGAACGACTTGACCAACAAGCCTTGGCTAAATCTAATACTGTCTGACGCCATGACGTCAGACAATAATTATATACATGTATAAACTTTTATGCAAACACTTGTGAACATCTCAGATTTATACAATTTTTCAAATGTCATAGGTATAACACCTTGAAACAACCGTTCGATTTAAAATATTACAGTATAAGTTTTTCAGATTAAAGTTTGATTTTCAGGAATTGACAGGGCTGAATTATGTAGATTTTGGCTTTAGTTCTTTACACTTTAATGTGTTAAATTTACAGATTAAAGTGTAAAATTTACAGAATAGAGTGTAAATTTTACAGATTAAAATGTAAAATTTACAGATTAAAATGTAAATTTTACACATTAAAGTGTAAAATTTACAGATTCAAGTGAAAATTTTACAGATTCAAGTGTAAATTTTACACTTTAATCTGTAAATTTTACAGATTAAAGTGTAAAATTTACAGATTAAAGTGTTAATTTTACAGATTAAAGTGTGTAAATTTTACACATTAAATTGAAAACATCGTTTAAGTATGGTCTATTATAGTCAAATCGTTTTTAAATTATTTAATTAATATACGGTAGCGAAATCGGACATGCATAGAAATACAGCTACCCACTTCAAAAGTGAAGAAATATTTAGAAATAACTAAAGATTTTAAAAAAAATTGAAAGTCAGTTTGCATAGTAGGTTAAATGGGAAACAACCAAATTATGAAATGATTAGATTAGCAATCCCAAGAACGTCTTTTCCTTCTCTTTCGTTTGTCTAACATCACAAAACTGCCTAACAGATTGTCCTTTTGCGTTGATGAAATAGGTCCTAAACAAGAACTGTAAACCATTTTTATTTTTTTTTTATGCATTAATTGTGTCTTTTGAGTTTATTTGATAAATAAATTTGGTACAAAAATCATTTCCCTTTGACTCAGTTGTTTATATACATTTATAAACGTGATAAAACAGCTTTGGGATTTAACAGAGCTTTACCGGGCTCAAGAAAATTATCACACTGTCTTGTATTTTCATTTTTACCGAGTACCCGGGTACTCGATCGGAAAAACGTCCGAGTAACCGATTATTAAAAAAATTGACCGATTTGACATCCCTAATATATATATATATATATATATATATATATATATATATATATATATATATATATATATATATATATATATATATATATATATATATATATAAAAGATTATAATAAGAGTTTATTACACTGAAGCCCAGGCAAGACATTGTGAAAAGCTCCTATTTTGCTAAAGTTTGCTCACACTCTAACTCTATAGTGGTGAGCTCTTATGATTAAATAGTTTCATTCCTGGCAAACTGCTATATGTACTTGTAGATTTGTGATCATGTTCTGTACTTATATTAACAATATGAATATATAGACTGACAGCCAACATATTTCTGAAACAGAATTGTTTCTTATTTTTCAGCCGACCTTCCAGCTATTGGATTCAGTGCCAAGCTTTCCCGTAATATCCAGTTAGGAAAGGGAGAAGCGGTTAAGTACGACACCGTGATCACCAATAAGGGTAATGCTTATAACAGATGGTCAGGACATTTTACAGCGCCCCTTAAAGGACTCTATCTGTTCTCCTGTACCATACTGGCTCAGCATCGGTACCACGCACACATTGAAATAATGAAAAATGGATCGAAAATCTCCACCTTATATTCCAGCACGACTGACCAAAGTTCGCAGACCATTGTCCTAGTTTTACGTGAGGGAGACACTGTTTGGACAAGACAAGCCTGGACCGGGAGGCATCTGCATGACCATGTGGGGTACAATATGTTTACCGGAGTTCTGATATCAGAAAATGTCTAATGGTTTTATTGATTGGAGATTAAATTCCTGTTTGTAAACGAAATCAGGAAAATTCAAATAAAATACGGTTTAAGGATATGAGTGTAAAGCTTATTCTTTTTCTAAGTCACCAATAGATAACAAATAATACACAATACAACTTAACGCATAATACTTGGTAAATAACATTTAAACTCTTTTATAGGGAGTGTAGCAGTAGCATGCTAGGACTTGGAATTTAATGAAACTTGGCACATATTTTTATAATGATGTGCGAATCTAAAATTCAAAATAAGACGATTGTTACCATGGTGAGTGGCTACCATGGTAAACGGTATACATTTTTCATGGCTTAAAAACGTTACATTTTTGTGAAAATTGCCTTTTTCACAAATTGAAAGACTTTATTTGAAATGAAATGAACGGCCGTAAACGGATATATTTGAACATGTGCAAAAATCATACTTCCTAGCTTCACATTGCATTGTATTTCCAATATACAAGTCTACAAAAAGACTTTCGAGAAAAGAACGTGAAACCAAGGAAAACATTTAAGGTCAGACGATACGTTCCTCAAATATCTGTTTTGTAGATCTTCGTAATGTATGAAAAATATTCAAAATTTTAACTACCTTCTGATTTCTAAACCAGTTTCTAAACATCTTTAAAAAGTCCAAACACCAAAGAGTTTGATATTAGTAAATTAATTTTTTTCCAAAAGGATTATATAAGAAAACTACCCTCTGGTATCTTGCACAAATGCATGGTAAGGTACCTCATTTTTTTGTGAGTGGCAATACTTTAATGACAAAATCTTGGAAATAATTATATATTATTTAGGAACGTATCGTCTGTCCTTAAATTTATTTAATTGTTTCAACCAATGTTAAATGCCTTATCATTTTGACATTTTACGCTTTTTCCGCACTATTTGTATAAAATGTTGACACAATATGACGTCACAATTAATTTAACTTTTTTAAGCGCAACACTTATTCGAAGGTATACGAAATCACAATATACTTTGAGATGTTTGTAGGCAATTGTAGCTATAGAAATATGTCAAAACTCTTGAAACTGGTAGAGATTTAATCAGCGTTCTGTTATTATATATATGTAACACGAAAGGAGAAAATATTTGGCTGGACCGAGAATCGAACCCGGGACCCTAGCTTGCTTCACTAGTCAGGTGCTCTACCTACTAGCCCAAACCATTATATATCTCAAGTTCTCAACTAGCCCCCCTCCCCTCATGCGCTCTACTGTCCTCCCCGTAGTGAGACTTAGCCATCAGAGGGATTGAAAGACTGATGTGATCTGAAAGTTTTACAGTTTCCTGCTGTATAAAGGTGTGAAATAAGTGAACAATACAATATTTAGATAAAAATAAACATTACGCAACATTTTCTTAAAATTTATGACTAATTATGATTTACTCTATGAATCGTTAAGACGAAACTTTTTGGCTTTTAGAAAAGACGAGGGTTTAACAAGATCATGTTTTTTTCTTTTTTAAAAATCTTTTTGATTGTATCAAAGGAAGATTGTTCGATCACAAGAAGGCAAGTATTTGTAGTAAAATACATAGTTGCGGGGTAGGATCCATCTCCAAATGTACTACATGTACTATTATACATCGATCATGATCCGGACTGTTATAACACTATGGTTTGACTACTTATACAGATACCATACAACATAAAATACACATAACTACTTGTAATGAATGGAATACAAGTACACAAAATTGCTTCATTTGCATATGATAAGGAAACTCATCAGGGGTATTAAGAACTTCCTTATTGATATATCTATAGCATTAATGAATGTTCTTACCATAAGTGTAATGAACAGAATTTTTATCTTAAACCTACAAGAATACTAATTTAAGAGAATATTTATAAAAAAAAAAAAAAAAAAAAAAAAAAAAAAAAAAAAAAAAAACCATTGAAACATTTGTTAACAAGTGTGATGCAGACGTTCTAATCTTCCCTAAAGCAGTGACACGTGATGCAATGGCCAATGCCTTAAATCGAAAAGTAGGCATATCTTGCCAATACAAATAGGTTGTAGAGCATCCCAAGTTACATCTTTTGTGGCGTAAAAAGATGTTTTATTACATATATTTGAAAAGAAAATATTTCCTTTAGTTTCATTTTTTTGTTGCCAACACAGACTGATCAGTTGCAACACTGTACAGTAACTTAGCTTTCTAATTTCATAAAACAAGTATGTGTGTGTTTTTTTTATTAGGAAAAATATAAACGTACATATATAGTCATGCAGGTGGACTGCCTATGTTGTATATATACAATTGAGCTATGGTATCTCGAACTTCGATATCTCGATCTGTTATACCATTGAGAAGTCGAGGTGAAGTGGAGTTCTCAACTACCTTTTTTTTTTAAAAAAAAATAACCTTGATTTCTTCGTTTTTCTTTATCGAGTTGGATATATGCTCCATTAATCGCACTGTCACTTCACCAAATCCTCCCTTCTCCTCAACCGCCCTGCTAACCTGTTGTATTGTGGCCTAGTCTTGTAGATGTGATTTGGGAGTTTTGTAATCTCCCGCTATATTCAAGCTATGAAAAAACTGAACAATATAAAATTTTACATAGAAATTAGCTTTACACATTTAACCATTTCAAGCAATTTAAAACTTATCATGATTTATCTTATACACAAAAGCACTGTTATAACATTATAGTTTTTATAAGTAATAGTTTCTTGTAAAATAATACACATAACATATACGTATAGTAGTAGGGAATGGAATACGAGTACATCAATTGGTTCCACAGCATTACAATAAGGAAACCTTTTTGAAAATATTAAGAACTTCCTTATTGAAATAACTTATATATAGAATTAATGAGTATATTCTGATTAAACTTATTAATAATATAATTTATAATCCTCAACATATGTTAACAAGTGTGATGCTGACGTTTCCATTGGTTTCATTCAATTTTTTCTTACTTCAGTGACAATTGATACAGTGACCCTTGCCTTATATAGAAATATCTTGCTGATATAAATAGGTTGTAGAGCAGCCCTAGTCTAGTATTTTCACTTAGAACTACTACTGAGGATAAAGGTGGGTGTTTAGAAGTTGCATTATTTTAAGTATTTTCTATTCTTCTAGATAGAATATTTATAACTTTGGAAAGGAATTGGGAAGAAAAAATGAGGATGTCTCTGCACCTTTCGTCATAAATAAGCAAGATCAGAAAGGACTTTTTTGTGCTAAGTTAATTTAACGTGGATTAATTCATTTTAATTGAAATTATGGCTATTGAGTAATGTACGAGGGTTGTTCGGAAAGTTCGTGGACTATGCCAATCTTACCTATACTATCTTCAAGAAATTTAAAATGAGCACATTATCATATGTAAAAATATTTATTTTGTTTAAGTGTGAAGTTTCATTCCATGTGATTTTATAGAATTCATCTTATTTAATTTTAAAACGTTTTATAAATACGGAGCAAACTCAACAACACTGTAAAGTCAAAAACATACCGACATGAGGTTCTCAAAAATACTATCCCTATACCTTTCACACAGTATTGCCCAATACCAGTGCACGCATTAAAATTGTTTCTCTATCACTTGAAATCTATTTTGCTAACTATTGTTCTTGTAGCATCATTTTGTTTGTCAATGTTATATTTTTTTCACTGCATAAGTGTGCTTTCACAGATCAGCATCTGTGAAACGCCAAAATCTTAGCATGACGTTACTATAACATTTCAATGTTTTTTATAAGATTTTTACAGATAATCCGTTTTCGCACAGATCACCATCGTCTCAGCAGAGTAGTCTATCATTCAAATACACACACATGTACACACACATGCATGGCTCGCTTTTGACATATTTCCTACTTCCTCCGGTATTTTCAAATTTTTTTTCTGAAGTTTTCCAGAGTACAGCACAAAATGCTGCTCCGTGACGTTCTACGACGTCATCTTTTTTTGCCTTTTCCAGTAAGGACTACTTATCTTCTGAAACTAATTTCTTTTCAACGAAGCAAAATATCAAGTCATAATTTGGAACCAGAAGCGATGAAACAATTTATTTTTCCGTTTTGTGTCATTTTACAGAAGATATGACTTCAGAAATTTTTTATTGTAAATTACAAAATTTTGACCTGCTCCGTGATCCGATTTTCGCATTTTTTTTAAGTCTAAATAAGTTTGAAATAAACCACGATATTAAAAAAAAAATTAATACATGTACACATAATTTGAATTTACTGTTGAAATATTTCTTCCAAATTTGGATATAATATGACGTTAAGGAAAAAAGATATGACGGTAGTCCACGAACTTTCCGAACACTCGCAGAGTTAATTTTCGCTACATTCGCGGAAATAAACTTAGGTTCGTGTAGTCAACATGCAATAAATAATTCTAAATAATTCTTAAGTGTAAAGGATATATGAAGAAAAGACACTTAAGACTTTAGTCTATTACTTGTATCTGTGTATGAATAAGAAAACCCTGTCTGTTTTCCTGCCTATTCAGGTGTGAAAAAAACCTGCACACTTATATATAAGGGTGTGTTCCCCGAACGTCTACTGGACTAAACAAACATCTAATTATCACACTCAATTAAGGGGCCCTCTACGAGGTACATGTAGAGTCTACAATCATTTATGAACCAGCTTACCTGTATTTATTGAAGGAGGAATTCTACAGCAACAATAATTTTTCGATCTTTAAGGCATCCTCTTCTGAAACATGGTTTCAGCATGGAAAGATTGATAAAAAAAATATTTATTGTTTTACATGATTTTTTTCAGGGGAAATGTAAATATCTTGAAGATTTTATCCATTAGTTTTAAAAAATGCTAAAAATAATGTTTTATTTTCATAAATAGTTTTTAAGCAAAAATTGAAAAAAAGCTTATCTGATTTTCCTTGACGTTTTTTTTATATTATCCATTTATTTAGGGCAAACTCTAAACTGTACAGGATCTTATTTGCAATTAAAACAATCTTTTCATTTTCTCCTAAAAAAGCCCCCTAAATTCATAAAAATTGATTTAAACTAATATCAATCTTTTCATACTTAAGCCATATTTCAGAGGAGATGTCTTAAAGATCAGTTAAATAAAATTTCCGTAAATATGTAAGTAGCATTCTTTCTTAAACAGGAAAAAACTATCCATCATATATGTCATTTTTCTTTTCAATGTAAGTGTTAAATGAGTTAAATAAATTTTGCTTTAGATACTTTTAATTTAATTTAGTTTTGTATCACCGTTACAAAGCATTGATTTTAAATATCATAACAATAAATAATTTCAAATCTTTGTTAGATTGAATCATAAAACTCAAATCATAATATACATGTAATTTATTTTGGTAAAAATCTATCAAGAAGCTTAAGATACGATTATTTGAAAAACAAAATTGAATTTTAACCCCCCCCCCCCCCCCCAATGAAATTGGGTTATAGACAATATTTTTAAAGTTGTCAAAAATCCCCCCTTTCAAAAACGATACAACGTGTCTGAATTTGATGTAAATAAAACTGTGCTAACTTTAGATATTGATTCCAAACAATTAAGAGGTAGCTATGGTTTAAACAGTGGGGAAGGGGCAACCTCCCAAAGAAATCTGACAAGTAAAATTTAAAAAAATACCTTGAAAATCCTATTTTGTGTGTTCGTGTTTGGGGAGGGGTGGACTTTCATTAACTGTAGATTTTTTTTTTCAAGTGCTGGAATTCGCCAGCGCTCGACCTTACAGCAATAGAAAGTAAGAGGGGGTAGCATCTAAATGAAAGTTTACATATTAGATCTAGAGGAATAGACTATACTACAGGAAAAGTCTATGCTCAGAAAAATGCCCCCCCCCCTTTCGTTCTATGGACCTGCAAATGCGATGTGAAAAAAAGTTCTCCATGTTTAATATAGATTAAACAAAGCTTAAAATGTGGTGTGTGTGATGCTTCAAGTGCCAAGTGTTAAGTTAAAAAAATTATGTTTGAAAATACTTCATCACATGTTATTTGTTAATTTAAATGTCTTTAAAAATTGTGCAGATATGTTTCTTTTTCGAATTTTAAATGTATTTTAAATAAAAATATTTATTACATGTACATAATTATAGCAAGTATTTAATCAATAAATCTGTGCTTTAGAACACAGTTTTATCCGTAAATATTAAATTATTTAATTTTGACTACTTTGTTAAATCAAGGTAACACAGGTAAACTCTACCTGAACCCCTTAGAGGGCCTCTTAATTAAGTGTGATAATTAAATAGTTGTTTTAGTGAGTAGACGTTCGGGGAATAAACCTATAGAAGTATTAGGAATTGAGTGTGAAACACCGATACAAAAGATATATCAAAAGCTCATAATCTTATCCATGTCTGTTTTTAAAGTTTGTTATTGTTTGTGGTAACATAAAATTTCACATTAAAAAAGGATGTATATTTTTCATCTCTGCAAATTCATGACACATCTTGAAGTTTATTCTTTTAAATAAAACAACATCACTTTTGAAAAAAATTCTCATAAATTGGATTTAGCTCAATTCTACACATGTACCTTGAGCCCAGATTCAAAAAGTCCGCCAAAACAGAATGGGTATCATGGAGAGCGTGCGTATCATAACAATAATGGTCATACAATAGCCAGGGAACTGTCTGTAATACCTGCAATTTACCACTATACCATCATCCACCCTCTCAGATTGGAAAATAGAAAACTATTATTTTGTTTACAATAGCTCTCATGAACATATCATTATTTGACCAAAAGATTTTTTTCAGTTTTTTTTAGGATAAATGCGAAAGGAATCTTTTTTATAAGGGCATAATTTCATTGAACCTTTTTTTATTTTTAAAATATCAACCCACTGCAATTTACATCGGAATATTCCGACGATGCTGATGTGCTATTTTTTTTTTTTCAGATTTATTAAACATTGTAGCTTATGATACTATAAAAATGTAATTTACATTAAGATTTAACAGACTTATCTGAAGACATGGAATTTATAGCCATCTAGACAATGTTTGTCTTAAAAATAGCTTCTTATCTGACCAGAAGTAACGGAGCTAAATGACGGACCATGGGGAGGGGGTCCAGTACATATACACGTCATTTAATACGTCATCATCACATGAAAAAAAAAAGACTGGAAAAAAGGTAAAGCAAACACTAAGTACTGCCGACATGTATTTGATCCGCCTTTGGGTTGGATTGTGCCTTGAATTAGACACAACGATTTCTTTAACCGTATACTAAATCTTACTTGTGAATAAACGTTTCGAGAAGTGATATCAACAAACAATCGAATATTCATTTGATGAGTTGGTATTCGAATATGAATTTATGATTCGAATATTCGATAAAAAGAGAGATAACTCTCTCTTTATTTTAGAAGTATTTAATGAATGAAGTTAAATTTTGATAACATTCTTAAAATTATGATTTTGGATGTTTCAGAAAAAAGGTCATACCCTCAGAATCAATATGGCGATATTAAAGAGGAATAGTAATGAAAAATCAGTAACATGTTAACACCCATTTTTTTTTTATATCGGTAGGGAATTTCCAATCTCGCTGTACCTTGATAATAAAATCGCATCGAGCACGAGCACTTGTATTAAAACAAAAAGACATTTCTCTTAGACTAGATAAAAGGCGTGAAGAGTGTACATGTATCTATCGAAATAAATTTATATATTGGATCATTGTATGACAGTGATAAGTTTTTATTTTTGTAAAGGCTCATTTCTTAATAAATGCTTGAATGTCTAGATCTTTTGTTTACACGTATCTCATTAAAAATCATTAGAAGGGATGTTAATTGATTGAGAAAAAGTGCCTTTCAAGGTGTTTGTTTTTTATTTTTAAAACATTTTATCAATTAACTTTTATGGTGCAGATTATTGTTAATCGTGTACGATACATTTATACGTTTGTAGGAGTTATCACTGTACGGTAAGACGATCATTTAATCATTTAAATTTAAAAAAAAAAATGAATTCTTTTTTGGCTGTATACACTAACAGACAATATATTTCTCTAAAACATTGACCAATATATCAAAAAGTTACTTTACTGTAAACTTACAGAACTCGACATGAAATTCTACTCAAAAATACCGACTCAAAAGGTGTACCATACTTAATCACAGGGTAATGCATATATATAATAAATCAACACTAATTTATTTTGTCGAATATTAAAATATATTTGAATACTCCTACTGAATATTCGACATTATTTTGACAAAAGAAATATGCAATACAGTGTCAAATATATACAATATATACTTTTCTTGTCCACTTTTGTGTTACTAATTTGAGCTTAATGATTTGTTTATGAATATAATGGGTAAATCTATTGTTAATTTTATTTTTCTTTATAGCTCTGATAAAGATCCGGAAAGATGACTAGTGCTACACTCATAGTTTCAGCAGTTGTCATAGGTTTTGTATTACACATAGCTACATGCTCAAATGGTAGGTTTGCATTTCTATCTTGAATAAGTCATTTTTTTGACTATGGAGAATTTTAGAAAAAGGTTTACGTTACGACAGCGAAATATATTGATAAAGTAAAATTCTGAAAATCTAAGTTTTTGAGCTGGTTTAAATATCTATAAACTTAAGATGTTAATGCACCCAAAGTAGAATGTTGCAGTATGCATTTATTGACTGGGTTCGAGGGCAACATGCGTTTTGTCGGACCCAAGAATCAAACAGTTTGGTTCGAGGGGTCGAAAAGCGTATTTAGCCTGAGAACACAGTCAATAAATGTTTTGTTATACCTTTCATTTATTTATTTTATTATTTTGTTTTTTTGACATACATGTATATCGAACACCAACGAATGCAAATGAGATTTAGCTGACCCAGCCCATCATGTGACGTAAGCGGTCCTACATCTCATTGACAGGTCGAATATCTCACTCCGCGGTCAAACATCGTTTTTTTATGCCCGCTCAGTAAAACATTGGAAATGTTAGACTTTTTATTAATATTGATTTATATAGAAACACATTTTTAAAGGTATAACAATAATTATTATTGGACTAAGATAAGATATTTATATTTTTTGTTTTAGGGTTTGTTATTTCCAAAATAACAGATTTTAAAGTAAATTAAACCCGAGATAACTTTTGCTTTCAGCCTCTCTCCCAGCCATTGGGTTTAGTGTTCAGCTCTCTCAAAATGTCCAATTAGGGAACAGACAGACGGTAAATTACGAAAAAGTAATAACCAATCAGGGTGACGGATACAACAGATGGACGGGGCATTTTACAGCGCCTCGTAGAGGATTGTATCTGTTCTCCTGTACCATAATGGCTTTGCATAACCACCGTATACACATTGAAATAATGAAAAATGGAAAACGTATATCAACCTTATATTCAAGTACAACTGACCAGAGTTCACAGACTGTTGTTTTAGTTCTAAATGAGGGAGACAGTGTGTGGACACGGCAAGCCTGGAGTGGAAGACATCTACATGACCATGTGGGGTACAACGTGTTTACTGGGGTTCTGATATCAGAAAATTTGTAATGATTTTCTTGATAAGAAATTATTTCCTGCTTTGCAAATAAAATTAATGGTAAATTAAATAAAATCGGCTTATTATGTACAGTGTATAAGTGTGAACTTATTCTTTTTTCAGAGTAATAAGAAATTGTAAATTTAATAAAATTATTCACCACAGTAAACATTGCCATTTGTCTAACGAGAACGTGAAGAGTCTCTTTCATTTAAAATTTAACTGGGGGTGGTATAGGAATATGCATGCATCTCGTACATCGGAGCCAAGTTGACTCTAGTTTTTCGGACGTTTCATTTTCCGGACGATAACTGTTTTGGTACATAACTACCAATTAAAAGAGATTCATTTCGGTAATCCAGAATCTTCATTGATATGGACATATTGCTTAGTACTAAGCATGAACACAAGCGTTTGGATAAACTAGGTCAGACTGTACATATATTTAAGCCTATTTGTCGCTTCATCTGGATTTAAGCAACGAATTTTCAATTAATCCGTATCTCTCGTATATATGGAGAGAAAAAAACCTCTTCAAACAAATGTATTACTAATTCTTTCTAGACTGAGTAATTGTGATTACGATTCAAAATGTGAAGATAACGAACATTGACCAATCTCATTGATACAGTGAAGAATACGAATCGTGAACAAGGAACAAGGCAAAAACACAGACCCCTGAAAATACTAGTACCAGATGTAAGATAAGAAGTATCCTCTGTACCGATCACTCCTAGCTATGGCTTCTTTTATTCCTCCAAGTAAAAGAATACAATTAATTTTCAACATTGAAATGCTGAAATTCAGAAAACAAATAAGTGTTGCAACCGAAAGACCAAAAATGCAGTCAATTATTAAGGGGATACAGTACATTAAAAGTACAAATATTACAAAAATGGGTATTAATAATTATGATACATACGCAGAGTAAAAAAACCTTAGGGACTGTTAATTATGATTATCCTATAAATTTATACATTATGAAACGTTTTTGACCTAGCACTGCAAAAATGAAATGGGTGAAAATAACGAACAGTGATCGATCTAAAAAAAATCTCTTAACAGTACAAATGTGTGAAGAGGGCATTAACACGGATCCCTGGAAATTCCAGATTTGGGATCAAGTGCCTAGGAGGAGTTAGCATCCTCTGTCGACCGGTCACACCCGCCATGAGCCCTATGTATTGAAGCAATGGCAAGTAAAAAGACAAGTTCATAAAAGTGAACACGAAATAAAAGTTATTGCATACGCAAAGTAAATTTTCAAGCAAAATATGCACATTTCTGTTTTAGTATACATTTGTATTTTACTGAAAGCTGGTTGTAACGTGTCCGAGCGTAAGTCTCTCAGTACAACAATTTTCTAATACATGACAATACCCGAAAAGAGAAAAAGGAAGTCGAGAATAAAGTTTTAATAACTTTTAATAAAGACAAACCATATTATTTTTAAGTTATAAAGTCTTCCCTGCCCTGGGTATATTGGGATTGGTAAATGGGTAATGAAAAATAAAAAGGGGGGTGAAACTTATTAAACTCAAGTATGCTAATTTTATGAGAGGTTTTTGGAGGCTAAGGCTGGCACCCGAATATTTTCCTCCAACTTACTATTAAGCTATGTAAGTGGTGCTCTCTCAAATCCCAATCCGCTGCAACTGCGCCAATGCACCTGTATATATAGGAATTTAACCGGAAATGCCCGTTACCAATGTAATCTCATGACGTAGAACACACATGACGTCAGTATTGGCAACTTCTCCAAACCGGAAACACTGCATCCCCAATTGAATTATATAGAGGAATTAAATAATGGATTTTACGTAATTATTTCGAGTGCCAGTAATTAAAAACATGAAAAACAAGAATAAAGAAGGCTAATACTTCGACGGAAGGTGGTGTTTATAATCATATGCGTAAAAGTTGTAATCGGCATGTTTTGTTAACACATGCAAATTCGTAAACAATAATGGCGGCCGCCATGGAATGACGATCTCGACCATGTGCTATTAAATTATAAGACGTGTTAATATCCACACGTGATCAATCCATAAGTAATATTGATCTGTCTTCAATACAGATAAAGTGCAGCACTTTGTAGATAAAATAATCTCAATAATATTCTCGTAATATCACTGCTGTATACTGCCATGTGAAAATATACATTTGACAGGTGAACTGTCACACCGGTAAATGAGTGTAAACGTTTGCAATGGTCAAAGAAAAATCTAGTAAGTAAACAAAATGTTGAATACTATGATAACACATAAACATACATCTGAATATGTAAGCTAAATATCGAAGAACACATTTATTCATGAACACCAGCTGCGATGAAAAGTATTTTCTGCAGATCGAGACAGGTATAAGTATAATTTTATGATTTTTCTTCAGCCTGTTGGTTTATCAAAATATTTATTTTTTTTTTTATAAAATAAGCCAAAAAAATATGTTATAGAGAAGATTTCTATAAACAATGTCTGCCACCTAACCTATTTTTTGTATCCTACATTATAAAATGTTTTCAAAAGAATATAGGAGATAAATAGGAGATAACGAACAGTATTCAAGCTCAAAGTCCATTTAAACAATACAAATCTGGAGCAGAGCAAACAGAGACCCCCAAAAACATCAGAAGTGAGATCAGGTGCCATGGAGGAGTGAACATCCCCTGCCGATCGGTCACACCCGCCGTGTGCTCCTTGTCATGATCAATTAAAAAAAAGGGGAAAATCCGAAGACAATTCAGTGTGTAAATAATGGCTTAACAATTAGTATGAAATCAGTCAGCATTTGACTTAATGATAGGTTGTATTTACAGACAAGGTCATTGTATAAACCACAAAACTTACGAAATAAAGTCTTCAAACGATACTGTTGATATCCTTGTTTCATCTACTTGTTTGTCAATAGCTTGCCTCTTTTTAGAAATAATTCAAACGTAGAGCATGCTCTTGCATATCGAATCAACTGAGAGATATACACCCCATATGCAGGTGATAATGGTATATTGCTACATAAGTAAGGTAAGTTGACGATTGAAAAGTTCACGGGTATGTTAAGGCTACACCAAGATATTCTACTTGCCTATACAATATGACGTCATAGTAAGCCGTGTGACGTGGTCTTTGGAGAGAATAATTTCATAAAAATCTATATTTAAAAATTTATTTCAGGTCCAAGACATGAATAGAAACATACAAAAACATGATATGTACTAAATCTTGTCTTTTGTAGGTGGTATAAATAGCTAGGTATTTATAACGGGGGTTGAACATCAAATCCGTGACGTCATAACTATTGTTCAAATATTTGCCAATTGAAAATTAAACGTAACGAAAATTTATGTAAACAAATATATGAAATGGGAGTTTAAAAGCATATGCCGTAAATATCATGTGCGATTCATAAAGAATTAGAGATTGAGGATAAGGTATGCTGATTTATTTTTATATTTTTGTGGCATAATGAAGACGGGCAGTGTAATGCAATCCCGATCAGCCTTTCCTCTGTCGGTCGTAACAAAAAGATGCAAAAGTTCAACACTAAGCCGCATACTTTGAAACATAGTTTTTGTTCTTATCAAAAGCTTGTATTCTACACTTCTTGGAAAGTGCTGCTAGAATCGTGTGGTTAACATAAATTGATGAAAATTCTTCGATCTTGTGTACAGAATGTAAAAAGTTTGGAAAGGTTTCATGCGAAAACACGGAATAATTATTTCTAATAGGATTGTAGGATTCTAGCAGCACTTTTCATGGCCCAGTGATGTTTATGTTTTACATAATTATTGTAACAAAGAGAAATGAATTATCCCCGGGGTAGTGTTGAACTTTTCACTGCTTCATTAAGGCATTTTTTCTATTTATAGACGTCACGTGATGACGTCGTAGTGGATTGCTTCTTTTAGCCGAAGACTCCATGACGTCTATACAATGGATAATAATAATGAATGCTTTATCTATGGCTTTTCCGATTTATCAATGTTACATTTTACAAAAAAAGTGTAAATTCACCGAATTCTGATCTGTGTGCTGCCTTAACATACCTGCGTTGAAGTCATCACGTTTATAATACAGCTTTGTTGTGAGATTACCATTAAAGTCTTTTTCTGGTAAAATATCCAAATATGAAACAGATGTGTCAGACTCTGTTGTATCTTTTATTTCAAACTCACTGGGATATATCGAGTCGACATATGAATGGAAGTAACTATATATTGTCAATTGATAATACGTCGTCGATATATCGAAATATCGAGTTGAAGGTCACAGCAAGTGTTTTCTTCTTCTCATGTAGAAGTTTGTGAATAAACTCTGCTTCAAATGAATAGAAAAAAAGGTCTGCTGATAAGGGGGTGCAGTTAGTACCCATGGGAATTAATTGAACGGATTGTTGGAAGACCTGATCTCCAAAAACTACAAAGTAGTAGATATTGTCAATCAGAAATTCAAGCATCTTTTTATATTAACTTCAGAGTACTTGTCTATACAGTCAGAATGTTTTTAATAAAATAATTTTGCAAATGACCATTGACAAGGTAAGTAAATTTACGAGTTCCAATTTTATTGAAAAAACAGCTGTCTATGATGTCAAAAAGCCTGGACTTAAATTTATTTTAAATTTGGGGATTGGTTGTATAAAGTGTTGAAAAGTCGTATGTTTTAGTGCTATCGATTTTGTTAAAATTTCGTGATCAAATCGGAAATGTGCAAATATACAATTGTCTCCTTACTCGTAGAGAGAAGGCTTTACGAAAATTGCAAAACCTGTTTTGGGCGTTTTAGCTGCTATTACAGCCCGTGTTTTAGAGTTAGTTGCCTGCTCTCAAGATAAGTTTAATTTCTTTTTATGTTAATGGTGAAATGAAAATGAAGATTACATGACATAATGCACAGTGATAATAGATCAAGAAACTGAATGAAAATCATAATTTCAAGATATGCTTTTTTTAATTAGTATTTTTTAGTCATGCGATCATATCGCTTCTAGTAACTAATTCATGAAAAAAGCGTATTTACTGAACTGAGAAATCACAATTAGCATGATATTCATCATATTTTTTTTCAAATTAGCC